CTAGTATTTTTTCAGATTTCGTTATAGACGAATGCTGTGAAAAGAACAGTAAATGTAAAATGCACATAAAATCAAGTGTAGTGTTTGGATTCTTGAATCAGGTGAACTGTAGTGTCATCACCTTTTCGGTCTGATAATTTTCCCATAATCACCAGTGTTCTCTTTCCAGTGCTACAATGGTCATGCATATGCTTTTTATAGTTCTTCTGTTAGAAACGTATTTATTTGGCCCTATCCATATAGGCCAATTTCCACAAGTGTAAGTTAAGTTGTAGTTAAAAAATGTATTGGGCTGTAGGCTAGGGTTATCTGACAAATGGGCAACCTATTTGAAAACAATAGCCTACCTGTGTTGATTTTAAATCATAGGCATATACTGTAGAGCACTAGGTCTGGGTAGGATGTCTGTCTTCTCTTGGACATCCCCCCCCCAAAAAAAATCATAGGGAGGGTCCTCTTCAGACAGACAACTCTCCCAACAAATCACCAGTTTGGTTAGGCGGGGCTTAAAATGCAAGCAGGAATTGTGCTCATGTTTAGCTAGGGTAACAAGCGGCTACGGCAGTGACATCACCGGTGAAGCCCATCTAATTTCTGACTCCGGAACTTCTACAGACGTGTAAGCTGGAGCATTGGCACATTGTGGGAGGCAACCCGTCTGTCTAGAGACACTCATTTCAAGGGGTAATAGGAACAACACCAAAGCTTGTGTCAAATTAAATGAAAAAAGTTTGTCATATAAACATGTGTGGCATTTTAGGGTTCTCAAGGTCAAATGGTGGTCATTAGTTATTTGCCTACTAGCCTTTTCACCCTTGCCCTTAAGATGCCAAATCATATCAGAGCATCATTTTACCACTAACCTTGCACCGAGAAAGAAGCTGACATCACAGGATTTCAGACTGGCGTCTGTGGGAGCATGTGTTTCCTGTGTTCTTTATCGGCCAACACAAATACAACTCCGATTATAGTCATTTATCTCAAAGTTGGCAGGATGTGAAGTGCATTCACTATTGCCAGTACATTGGCACTGGCATAAGTGGCTGTAACAACCTAAGCATTATGAAACTTAAATTATATCAAATAGGCCTAACGTAGCAAGTTGGCAATAAATGTTTATGTTCGACACTCTCCCATTGCCCTCCATACAACAACAAAAAACGACCACTGCTTAACTCTTTATTTTCGCTAGGACATAATCAGGGGCGGAGGCAGATCTCACTTTTTCTATTGCTCTCTTAAGAGTGCTCAAGCTGACACCAGCGGCCTTGGCAGCCCAACAGGAATTGACATCATGCTGTAGTTTTCAATGCCACTTTAAGGGAAAAATGATCAGAGATCATCACAGCAGACCTTAAGAAATGATGTGCATGAATGAGTGGATTCTTACTCTTGTACTTTTTCTTGATTTGAAGTATTTGTCTCTAACTAATGTGTAATTGCTTGCTGCTCTTGTAATACAGGGCTCCCTTGCAAAAGAGGCTGGTCTCAATGGGGGACCCCTGCCTAAATAAAGGTTAAATAAAAAAAATACAATTCATCTCCAATTGGAAAAGCAATCAGATTGGCATAACATTGAGGACAGTCTGTAGGCATTGTAACAGAAGAAGAGTTTTTAGTTCTGCTCCACTAAAAAAACTGTAACGGTGCCGGAGAAGATGGCTGCAGTTTTACAGCCCTCTAACCAATTGTACTATTATGTGTGTTTTTCTGCGTTATTTGTAATTTATTCTGTACATAATGTTTCTGCCATCGTCTCTTATAACCAAAAAGAGCTTCTGGATATCAGGAAGGATATCCTACAGACACCCGACAAGGCCCAAATCCCCGTCATTCGCATGAGAAAGAGACGGAGATATCGTGGACGTAGGTCGGGGTGCCTTGTAAGGATCCGACGGCGAGCGAGTAAACTGCCTCTTCCATCAATCCTATTAGCCAATGTTCAATCATTTGAAAATAAATTTGATGACCTAAGATTACGGTTATCCTACCAACGGGACATTAAAAACTGTAATATATTATGTTTCACCGAGTCGTGGCTGAACGACGACATGGACAACATACAGCTAGCGGGCTATACGATACATCGGCAGGATAGAACGGCTGACTCCGGTAAGACAAGGGGTGGCGGTGTGTATTTGTAAACAACCGCTGGTGCACCAAATTAAATACTAAGGAAGTCTTGAGGTTTTGCTCGCCTGAGGTAGAGTATAGTAGACCACACTATTTACCAAGAGAGTTTTCATCTATATCTTTAATAGCTGTCTATTTACCACCACAAACCAATGCTGGCATTAAGACTGCACTGAATGAGCTGTATAAAGCCATAAGTGAACAGGAAAACGCTCTTCCAGAGGCAGTACTCCAAGTGGCCGGGGACTTTAATGCAGGGAAACTTAAATCAGTTCTACCTAATTTCTACCAGCATGTTAAATGTGCAACCAGAGGAAAAAAAATTCTAGACCACCTTTACTCCACACACAGAGACGCATACAAAGCTCTCCCTCACCCTCCATTTGGCAAATCTGACCATAACTCTATCCTCCTGATTCCTGCTTATAAGCAAAAACTAAAGCAGGAAGCACCAGTGACTCGGTTAATAAAAAAGTGGTCAGATGACGCAGATGCTAAGCTACAGGACTGTTTTGCTAGCACAGACTGGAACATGTTCCGGGATTCTTCAGATAGCATTGAGGAGTACACCACATCAGTCACTGGCTTCATCAATAAGTGCATTGATGACGTTGTCCCCACAGTGACCGTACTTACATACCCCAACCAGAAGCCATGGATTACAGGCAATATCCGCACTGAGCTAAAGGGTAGAGCTGCCGCTTTCAAGGAGCGGGATTCTAACCCGGACACTTATAAGAAATCCTGTTATGCCCTCCGACGAACCATCAAACAGGCAAAGAGTCAATACAGGACTAAGATTGAATCGTACTACACCGGCTCTGACGCTCGTCGGATGTGGCAGGGCTTGAAAACTATTACAAAGAACTACAAACTGACTACAAAGAGAAGCACAGTCGCGAGCTGCCCAGTGACAAGACTTCCAGACGAGCTAAACCACTTCTATGCTCGCTTCGAGGCAAGCAACACTGAAGCATGCATGAGAGCACCAGCTGTTCCGGATGACTATGTGATCACACTCTCCGTAGCAAATGTGAGTAAGACTTTTAAGCAGGTCAACATTCACAAGACAGATTACCAGGACGTGTACTCCGAGCATGTGCTGACCAACTGGCAAGTCTCTTCACTGACATTTTCAACATGTCCCTGGCTGAGTCTGTAATACCAACATGTTTCAAGCAGACCACCATAGTCCCCGTGCCCAAGGACACTAAGATAACCTGCCTAAATGACTACCGACCCGTAGCACTGACGTCTGTAGCCATGAAGTGCTTTGAAAGTCTGGTCATGGCTCACATCAACACCATTATCCCAGAAACCCTAGACCCACTCCAATTTGCATACCGCCCCAACAGATCCACAGATGATGCAATCTCTATTGCACTCCACACTGCCCTTTCCCACCTGGACAAGAGGAACACCTACGTGAGAATGCTATTCATTGACTACAGCTCAGCATTCAACACCATAGTGCCCTCAAAGCTCATCACTAAGCTAAGGATCCTGGGACTAAACACCTCCCTCTGCAACTGGATCCTGGACTTCCTGACGGGCCGCCCCCCGGGTGGTAACTGTAGGTAACAACACATCTGCCACACTGATCCTCAACACGGGGGCCCCTCAGGGGTGCGTGCTCAGTCCCCTCCTGTACACTATGACTGCATGGCCAGGCACGATTCCAACACCATCATTAAGTTTGCTGACGATACAACAGTGGTAGGCCTGATCACCGACAACGATGAGACAGCCTATAGGGAGGAGGTCAAAGACCTGGCCGTGTGGTGCCAGGATAACAACCTCTCTCTCAACGTGACAAAGGAGATGATTGTGGACTACAGGAAAAAAAGAGGACTGAGCACGCCCCCATTCTCATCGACGGGGCTGTAGTGGAACAGTTCGAGAGCTTCAAGTTCCTTGGTGTCCACATCACCAACAAACTATCATGGTCCAAACACACCAAGACAGTTGTGAAGAGGGCACGACAAAGCCTATTCCCCCTCAGGAGACTGAAAAGATTTGGCATGGGTCCTCAGATCCTCAAAAAATTATACAGCTGCACCATCAAGAGCATCCTGACTGGTTGCATCACCGCCTGGTATGGCAACTGCTCGGCCTCCGACCGCAAGGCACTACAGAGGGTAGTGCGTACAGCCCAGTACATCACTGGGGCCAAGCTTCCTGCCATCCAGGACCTCTATACCAGGCGGTGTCAGAGGAAGGCCCTCAAAATTGTCAAAGACTCCAGCCACCCTAGTCATAGACTGTTCTCTCTGCTACCACACGGCCAGCAATACCGGAGTGCCAGGTCTAGGTCCAAAAGACTTCTCAACAGCTTCTACCCCCAAACCATAAGACTCCTGAACAGCTAATCATGGCTACCTGAACTATTTGCACTGCCCCCCCCCACCCCCACCCCCACCCCATCTTTTTACGCTGCTGCTACTCTATTAATTATTTATGCATAGTCACTTTAACTCTACCCACATGTACATATTACCTCAACTACCTCAACTAGCCCCTGCACATTGACTCTGCACCGGTACCCCCCTGTATATATAGCCTCCCTACTGTTATTTTATTTTACTTCTGCTCTTTTTTTTCTCAACACTTTTTTGTTGTTGTTATATTTTACTTTTTTTATGAAGAAATAAATGCATTGTTGGTTAAAGGCTGTAAGTAAGTATTTCACTGTAATGTCTATACCTGTTGTATGTATATAAAATTTGATTTGATTTGATACTGCCTGCCATTTAATTGTGATAATGAGACCTAAATAAAGGTTAAATTAAATTATACAGCATTTTTGCTAGTCCCATCTCTTTTTCTCCCCAGATTGCGGTTTGAATGTCCACAAGCAGTGTTCCAAAATGGTGCCAAACGACTGCAAGCCTGACCTCAAGCATGTCAAGAAAGTATACAGTTGTGACCTCACGACCCTGGTGAAAGCCCACAATTCCAAGCGACCCATGGTGGTGGACATGTGCATACAAGAGATTGAGTCTAGAGGTGAGCAGTAGAAACCGACCCACTTGTGATGTTTTTTTTGCTATAGGGTTGTTATGGTTTCAGACATCCTCCAGTAACAACGTTCATGTTACTTTGTTCGAATTTCCTGAGCACCTGACAAGTAATGGAGAGGTATGAATTTGCACTGGTGTTAGTTTGATGAAAATGTAAAGCCGTTTAATTTGTCATTGTCTTTCTCTCCACTATCCTTCTCTTTCTGTAGGTGTTCAGTCTGAGGGCCTGTACAGAATCTCAGGCTTCAGTGATCTGATTGAAGATGTGAAGCTGGCTTTTGACAGAGGCAAGGCCTTTTTTCCTTTGCCACTGTATCTCATTCAGTTACCTGCTTTCTGGGTGGGGCAGTCAGTGGGTATCAATTGGACTTAGTCCTTGAAAAATGCTGTCCATGGCCTATTGTTGATATTGCTGCAAGATTGCGGAGAACTAGGTTGGACAAAAACTGATTTCATTGTTCATTAATTACATTTGTTTAATTGTTAATGGCAGTTATCAAGTAAGGCCAATCAAGTGCCAACTGAGTTTACCATCTCTAGACCGGCTGCACAGCTACAAAACTATGTAATTCTAAGACCTCCTTTTTTCCATATGGATGCTTGCAACCTTTGTGGCATCTTATAATTGACTGCCCCATCTATAGGCAAGTTAAATTCCTCCCTCTGTCTCCCAATAGATGGTGAAAAGGCAGACATTTCTGTGAATGTGTATGAAGACATCAACATAATCACTGGCGCACTGAAACTGTACTTCAGGGATCTACCTATTCCTCTTATCACATACGACGCCTACCCAAGGTTCATGGAGGCAGCAAGTTAGTCCTAAACTTAGCACGATTATGGATATTTCTGTTTGATTTTTGTTATTGGGTGTGTGTATTATGGTTCCTGTCCTACAGACGCTGACTGTGTGTGCGTTTGTCGGGTTCTAGAGATCACAGATCCAGACAAGCGGTTGGAGGCCCATCATGAAGCTCTGAAGCTGCTGCCACCTGCACACTGTGAAACACTGTGTTATCTCATGGCCCACTTAAAGAGGTGAGACTAGATATCGGAGTATATTATGGTAAAACAGTGCCTAGTCATTGAGAAGAGACAATGATTAGATTAACAGTCTATTAACAATTTTTTTTAAATCTGGAGATGTCTTGATTGCATAAATATTTGCGCCCCTAAAGCAATACTTGGTGGACAGCCATTAGGTTGTTAAAAAAAGTTTTTGGGCCACAATTAAAAAGAGCTAATATTTGTATTTCTCACACCACTTTGCAATGAGCTGGAGGCAGTATGCGTTTTTAAAACATATACTGTAGCTACTTAATTGTTTGAAACCTGAGCATTTTACTACATATTATGAGGCATGTTTGACCTTGCTTCGAAGTAGCCTTGGCAAAATCTCACCAAATCAGTGGAGGCAATTATTTTATACAGATTTGAAACCAGTAGACTATTTCTCATGTTCTATTGGTTTTCAACTTTCTTTCATTGTCCGGGAGCCAAATGCACATTTGCGCGTAGCCTACTGCCTTGTGCGCATTGCTGCGCTAGTAATGTTAAGAAATAATAGTAATAATAGCTAAATGTTCTGATCTGTTACCTCAAATTCATTACTTTTTAACGTTTTTTTATGTCACCTAGGCCTACTGGTTGTATGAATTTGGGCTCTATCGTCCTACAACTGTCCCAGAGTCTGTTTGGGCTATTTCTTTGTCGACAGGCTGACCAATAGAATAGGTCAACTTTTCTACTATGGGGTAGATTTGCTAAATTACTAAATTTATATAGCCTATATTAGCCTACTCCTGTCTATACAGAAATAAATAAAATCATTCAAAATAGACTACTAAATCATGATTTGGCCACAGGATCATTAGCTTCCCCTAACCTTAAAAATAAAACAAATTGTGGATTGTTTTAAATCACATTGCCTACAGTCAGAAGGAAAGGCAGCGAGCGCTGCAAATACCAAATAGATTATTGTTGAGTTCCGACTGTCAGTGAAAGTAGAGGCCCAGCCAGGCATATTAAAATATTTCTAAATTCAATAGCAGGAAAACATAGGTTGGAAAGCAAATGGCTATTGCTGTAAAGAGAAGACAATGAAAATACTAATCTGTCTAAAATGTTCAACTTAATTGAGCGAACAACAGTAAGCCTATCTTATTGGCACCAGCGGAGAGCATCGGCCGCAGCGGAGAGCATCCGCCATAAGAAAATGCGCACTGCGCATATTCACACTCATTGTTGGGTCAGTCCCACATAAAAGTTTGTTTTTGGACAATAATTTCCTCCTCCAGTTTAGATGGACGTCATATTCTATTTGTGTCTCCCCTTATCGTAGGCCTGTTATATGGACAATGCCATTTTTATTGATTCTTTGTCAGTTTCAGCAGAGTTGGCTACCCTGTAATTTGTCCTATTAAAACATATTCTGCTGATGTCTCCAGTCATATAAAGTGTAGTAGAATTGCATGAAATGTGTTTTTCCCGTGCAAAGAAAGAAGAAATGTGTCTGATATAGCCCAGGCCTCTACACTATACTCGCTCAGCCATGCATTGATTGGTCTTTTTTTTGCAAACAGTGATTGAGTAATGATGAGTAGATTGGATAGTCAATCATATTACAAATAGTAGGCTATCTTACAAAAGTCTGCAAATGTGATGATGCATGGAATGCTTTATTATAAAGGTGCATTTTTATGGTGAAAACTTTAAACTCACGCTTTGCCTATGCATAGGCTAGTGATTTTGCTGTTCTTACTCGTCTTGTTGGCTGAGGAAAAGTAAATGTGGACAGTTATTCTAACATCTTCAAAGTGCGCGGTAAGGACACACGTCGTTGCATCCTCGACTTGCATGTTTTGTTAATATTAATTACCATAATCGAAATGTGATTTATTTCATTCTGAGCATTAAATTAAAATGCTGCTGGTCAAATGTCCGGCGCCACATTTTCCTAACGGAATCCCTGGCATGCACGTATTTTGCCGCTCTGTTCCGGTGAAATCTAACAGCATCTTTATCTCACGTTGAAAGATTGATTCCTGCCATGTCAAATGATTCTGTTATGGTATTTTATAATAATATAATGCAATATAATACAATAAAATAGAAATTTTTTCCATATAAATAACTAGAGTAAGATGTTCCAAATTCTAATGCATCTCCAATGCAGTCTGCGCATCCATTCACTTTGTTTATCTTGCCATTGTGAACTAAATTCAATCACCCCCTTCACCATCGTCATTAGCATTATTCACATAATTCAAATTCAATCATGAATTGAGGAAAAAAAATGTTAGCTTGTGGGTAGCAACGCCGTTTGTCTTGGCAATTAGTCTCTGCTCTACTCGTTCAGCTGCCCAGAGAACAGGCTACTCTGGCGAATTATGCTTGTTTAATAATGTTAGATCAAGGCTGAATCAATGTCTGCAAGATCACATATTGATAGTATTCTATATAACAGAACCGAATATAATAGCATAGTATAACGTACTGACGAGAAAACCACCTCAATTATGAGATTTTAGGATGATTGTGTGAATGGTCTCATTTTTCTCATGTGGCCAAAACTCAACAGCGTGTGCCAATAGACAAAATATGTGCATTTATTGAAACAAAACACAGGTATGCTACAGTTAACATCTGCTCTAAAATTAGCTCACTGTGCAGAATTCAAAGCAACACTGTAGGCCTACATAACTCAAGAAGATCTAAATGCATATTCCCATGGAACTGATAGAGATCAAATGGTTGGCATGCAGATGCTGCATGGATGTTTCACCGGTAAAACTTGAAGAATTATCATTCACAATTGACAGTGAGAAATGTGAACAGAGGGTGACCACAAAAATTTAGACCTAAAGAATCGCATGCACAACGTGATTCGGATCTTCAGTTCTGGGGAAAAGGTATCCAAGGGGGGCAGGATGGGGTGGTTACCTCCGCATCCACAGCCTTTGCCTTATTTTAAATACAAAATCAACTTGTTGTGTGACTTGTTAAGGAAGTTCTTAGCACAAATACTTATGCAATCAAGACAAATGCCTTTTTTAATTATTATTAATTTTAGAGTTAATATTTTTTACTAGGCGTGATACGTTAACAGTAGGCAATAATTGTTTTATGGTAGAAAACGCATTGGTCTTGAATGAGCATGTCAATGGCCCCCAAACCGGTTATTTTTTAGCAGTTTCTCTCTCTTTGCCCTGACCCTTTCCTGCTCCTCTCCAAAGGGTAACCCAAAATGAGAAAGACAACCTGATGAATGCAGAAAACCTTGGAATTGTTTTTGGGCCCACCCTCATGCGTGCCCCAGACCTGGATGCCATGACGGCGCTCAATGACATCCGCTACCAGAGACAGGTGGTGGAGACGCTCATAAAGAACGAAGACATTCTGTTTTGAAAGGGGATGACAAACAATGAAGGAATCTTAAATCATGAGTAAGCGATTTACTCATCATTTAGAAAGGAGGAAGTGACAATTTTGTTTTGTATATTTTTCCCTTTGTAAAACCAAGACTTGAAGAATAATGAAGGAGTATTTGCGCCATTGTACATTATCTCCCACTCCCAGTGAACCCTGTCTAAAGAGATGTCTGATGGGTTTGGATCACGTACCTTAGACTTGTCTTTTGCATGTTCACCCCCCCCCCCCCCCCATTTCTGTCGGGGGTAATTGATGGACCACACATTCCTTTGGATAGCTAGTATGTGTTTTGTTTTCAGATATTGGGTCACACCAAAGAGATAGATTAGAGAGAGGACTCAACTTTATCTCTGACATTTATAGCGTCTGTGACAGCATGGGCAGTGCCATTGAAGCTACAACCCATAGGAATCTCTACCCAGTTGGCTACTTTTACTACTTTAAAATGGTGGAAGCATGGTGGAAGCCCTCAATGGCAATGTCCATGCCAAAACGGGTTATATCCATGATGAGTCCTCTATCTATCTCAATGGGTCACACTTACTCATTAACTGCTCTCTTCGATCTTGTAGATGTGGCTCATTGTTTCATGATGGGTTTATTCTTTATGTGAATCACTAATGTACCTGGATGTAACAGAATACCATCGGTTAAAAACCTTTTTTATTTTGTTTAACATTGTTGTTTGTATGTTCTTTTACATTCAAACAACAACTTTTTGAGGTGACTTTTTGAAAGAGATGCAGTGGGATATTTATATAATTTCAGCCAGTAGTTCTAAAAGTAGCCTAGCAGTCACAAGCCATAATGGGTGCCTGAAATGTACTATGTCATATTAGCGTTGTGTCCCATGTACATCTGCACTGCATTTACATTCTAATGACGTACCACACAATTGGCACTCACTGCCCCTACTGTTAAAGAGCAGCCAATGTGAACAAGTGATCCAGCCTCCCACTTTTACCTTGCAGTGTCATTGTACATGATTGTGCCTTTCTACCTTCCTATCAACATTGTCCATCCGTTTTGGTTGTTCGAAGTGTCCCTTTATTCCCTGGTCAGACTATGGCAAAAGGTAACTAGAAACTGTGCATTTCCTGAAGAAAATGTGTGTGCTTTCTTCAGCTGTCTAAAAGTAGTAGTAGTAATGGTATTGCTTGTATTCATATCAATGGTATTAGTGACTGTGGTAAAAGTAGTGTTTTAATTTCAACATTCTGAAAGTTTATCGTTATTTCAACAGTGGGAAGTTAATGTTGAGGTAAATCTGCCTATCACCATTAACGTGAATTGGACATTTTGGGGGCACAAAACTGTTGTAGTTTAAAAAGTATTTATGTTACCAAATAGCTCAATGGATGCAAAGTTGAGTCAGTCTGGTTTGGTGCGAATCCAAATTTGACCATTATGCGATTTACGCTCCAGTCCAATTTTTTATTAGGGTAAGCCTGATCTGCTAATATAACATTTACATTTAAAAAATGGGTTAACTTGGATCAGATGACGAAGTGTTATTTATAATTAGTGATGGGCACCGATATGGAAAATTGATATCAGTTGCATTTTTTGATTCGATATATCTGTTTGTATAAAATACTTTGCAACTGCGTGAATGTTTGCTTTTCTGTTCACTTCCACGACTCTGTGAAGTCAAACAACTGCGTACGGATTGCCCATAGGGCCAAGTGTGAATGTTCAGGTAGCATAAACCTACCTAACCAGTTTGATTACAATGGGAAGCCCATCCACAGTGGATGGCCCATCAGGCAATTAAGTATGCTTAGCCTGTGGCAAGGTCTGTGAGAGGGTTTTGTGCAAGCAGGATCAGTCATGTATGCTTTTTTGCATAACGGTGTAAGTTAATAGGAAGAATAAATCGATATCACGACATGCCTTGCTCATATCGCTATCAAAATATTAGATTCATATCGAATGATCAATATTGGTGCCCACCACCAATAATTTGATAATGTAGGGCCCTATAAAATCTTATTTTGTCTGATTCAGTTCTTTCCCAAATTTGTGTTTTCAGGTTTCAGTTTTCGTTTTTTTTTGGTTTTCGCGCTCAAAATCTTTATAGAAAGACAACCAAATTGGATGTTCTAAGTCCACACCAATGCTTAATCCACATCAGGAGACTACTTTGGAGGTCTGGAAGAAATTTAGATTTTGGGGTGTAATACAAGCGCACTCCAGCAAGACACCATGTTTGGTTAGCATAGGTTTCTGTAGCACTCGTGATTGCAGAGTTTGCTTAACAAATGGCCACTGGATTGATGCAAATAATCATATAATTCTGCCAGGTAGGCATACTGTAGGCTACTTTGTAGTCTACCCCCCCCCCCAAAAAAAAATTTGTAAAGTGGTTATCCCACTGGCTATAGGGTGAACGCACCAATTGGTGAGTAGCTCTGGATAAGAGCGTCTGCTAAATGACGTAAATGTGCCCTTGAGCAAGGCACTTAACCCTAATTGCTCCTGTAAGTCGCTCTGGATAAGAGCGTCTGCTAAATGACTAAAATGTAAATGTAAATGTAACATTTAATTGAGAAGGTTTTTGGGAAAGCCTTCCCATCTCTACCAGAAGACCGTTATCATTAGCATCATCGCTAAAGGCTACACAAAGTGTAGACATACGCGCACACAATGGGGGCATTCCTGTGCCGTTTCAGAAAGTTGTAGGAAAATACGAATCACTGATGCATTTTGTTCATGACTTGGGCAAATGACTAACTTTTATACTAAGTCCAATACATTTTTGAACATTGTTGAATTCTGTTTTAATGTCTGTATTCCGTGATTCATTCCACGTTCTCCGGAAGGCAAAACTGCCTTCCTCGAGCGAGCGGGCGGGACTTGTGGATTCTATGTTGTGGATTACCTTTCATAGGGACTGGCCTGTGTTGCAGGTTTATCAAGACAACATGGAATTATTGATTTAGATGGTAGCATTACAAAAAAGGTAGCCCTGTATTTTCTCAGCAAGCTAAATGTTTTATATTCCTTGAGCAAAAGGTATTTCTCATCCAGCTGTACGCAGTGAGTAATGAAAAGTAGCCAATACAACAATGTTTTCCATACAAAGTACCCAAATAATTAAGGAATCGTATTTAGGCCTAATAGCCTAATTAAAATGTTTAACCTCTTAAGGATCTGACCCTTTTTTTCAATTTCCCCTAAAATGACATACCCAAATCTAACTGCCTGTATCTCAGGACCTGAAGCAAGGATATGCATATACTTGATACCATTTGAAAGAAAACACTTTGAAGTTTGTGGAAATGTGAAATTAATGTAGGAGAATATAACACAGATCTCGTAAAAGATAATACAAACAAAAAAATATGTTTTCTATTAATTTTTTCAGCATCTTTGAAATGCAAGTGAAAGTCCACAATATATTGCAGTTTAGGTGCAATTTAGATTTTGGCCACTAGATGGCAGCTGTGTGTGTGCAAAGTTTCAGGTTGATCCAGTGAAGCATTTCAATACTGGGCTATTTTGTATCAAGTCTGCCCAAATGTGCCGAATTGGTCAATTGATACATTTTCAAAGACATAACTATAGAGAACATACATTTTGTATTACCATATCATTTTTGTAAGTTTACACACTCCCAGGAATGTCATACATGATGGATCATTAGTGTATAAGCTAACTTTCACACATCTAGATGGCCGGGCGGGTGGGTGTGGAGCCAGAGACAGCAGGGGTTCAAACTGTAGCTATGAGCTTAGCGACCAGGGCTCAACGTCCCACGTTTATGCGATAAATCGGAGGAGGGATGGTCTTGCTAGCTAGCTTTAACACCGTGCTGGACAGGATAATCGCAAATGTGACATTGTGCAAAGGAAGATCTAGGTGATTCCTAGTCCTACTACTTTGTAGCTATTGGTATAACTAGGTCTTAAAGGGCCAATCTGCAGTTGCTACATACATTTATAGACTTTTTAAGGGTATGATATACTCATTGTCTAAGGCTCTGCATCTCAGTGCTAGAGGTGTCACTACAGACCCTGGTTCGACTCCAGGCTGTATCACACCCCGGCCGTGATTGGGAGTCCCATAGGGCGGCACACAATTGGCCCAGCGTCATCCGGGTTTGGCCGGGGTAGGCCGTCATTGTAAATATGAATTTGTTCTTAACTGACTTGCCTAGTTCAATAATATATATATATTTTTTATGATTCTTGAAGAATATAAATTGTAGATGCCTCATGAACCTAGTTCAACTGTTGTACCCCATCAGAACCCCAAATATAAGCTTGTTTTACTCTTTTGTTAGTAAACAATGTAAATGTAAAACACTGTATAGCCTCAAAATATGATTAAAACTACAATTGTTGATATCATGGATGGTCAGTCCTTGTATCCATGTCTCTTTCCATTAGTTTGAGAGTGGTAACATTTCTCCAGCCCCATCCATCAGCTTTTTACCGCTTTGTTCGAACTGCAGATTGCCCCTTTAATGGCCCAGTTGTAGAAGGCCCTACTAGCGATCTACTGGTGATCAGTAATTTCCAATGGGGGGAGGAAACAGAGACCTTCAGCCACTTAGCGGTCAGTTACTAGTATGGGTACATGCACACAGCAAGCTGAAAACCCAGCAAAACCACTTCCACTAGATAACATTGTTTCTGATCAGATTGAATCAAATCAAATTGTATTTGTCACATACACGTGTTTAGCAGGTGTAGTGAAATGCTTGTGCTTCTAGCTCCGATAGTGCAGTAATATCTAACAATTTCACAACATATACCCAATACACACAAAAAAAAATAAGGAATGGGATTTAAGAATATATACATATATGGACAAGCAATGACAGAGCGGCATGGACAAAGATACAGAATAATATTATAGAATAGAATGCAGTATAAACACATGAGATGAGTAGTGCAAGATATGTAAACATTATTAAAGTGACTAGTGTTCCATTTCTTAAAGTGGCCAGTGATTTCAATAGGCAGCAAGCAGCCTCTAATGTGCTAGTGATGGCTATTTAACAGTCTGATGGCCTTGAGATAGAAGCTGTTTTTCATTCTCTCAGTCCCAGCTTTGATGCACCTGTACTGACCTCGCCTTCTGGATGATAGCGGGGTGAACAGGCAGTGGCTCGGGTGGTTGATGTCCTTGATCTTTTTGGCCTTCCTGTGACATCGGGTGCTGTAGGTGTCTTGGAGGGCGGGTAGTTTGAACCCGGTAATGCGTTCAGCAGACCGCACCA